ACTTCTGTGCAGTGGAATGGCAATCAGTTGAAGAGTGTTGTTTTCATTGAAGTTGGAGTTGACCTTGTCACATGTTAAAATAAATCTTATATGAGTCAAATAAAACTTCAATATATTTCTAAATTGGAGGTAACTTTAAATGAGAGAAGTTAGGATACAACAAATCAAGAATAAATCAAGACTTAAAGGAAATGCCTAAGAAAGACCCCACTTATATAATATGCTGAAATCTCATACAGCTTGCTTTAATTACCAAGTTTATTCAGGCAGCAATTTAAATTTGAAACTATACTTCCTAATATATATCTAATTTTTTATTATTAAAGTTGTCTAGTCAAAACATTGTGGCAATTATGTATGCCTAAGAAGGCTATATGGCATTTTGAATAATAATTGTGTTGTTAAATGAATAAAATATCACAGCACCAAGGACCAAATTAGTGTTGTGGGTCACATGCATTATTGATAGAAGAAAGGAATATGAATTAGTGGACTAAAAAATTGATGGGGAAATTCAGACTTTGGTTTTGAAGAATTAGAAGGAACAGAAAATCCGTTTTTTTAATGTTTATTTATTTATTTATTTATTTTTTCAAACACCAAACTTTTTTTTTTAATTTGAAATAATCATAGATTCAGAGGAAGTTGCAAAAATAGTACAGAGAGGTCTCACGTACTCTTTCCCCAATATTTCCCCAGTGTGACATCTTACATAACTACAATACAACAGAAAAATCAGGAAATTGACTTTGGTACATCCAGAGGCCTTACTCAGATTTTACCTATCTTACATGCACACATTTGTGTGGTGCATGTATGGTCTGTGCAGTTTTACCACATGTAGATTTACATAACCACCATCATAATCATGATACAAAACTGTTCCATCACCACAGGGTCCCCCGTGCTACCGTTTTATAGTCACAGCCCTCCCCTACCCAAAGGTTCCCCCCACCCAGTCCCTAACACCTGGCAACCATTAATCTTTCTCCGTTCCTATACTTTTATTTTTTAAATGTTATATAAATGTATTTTTTGAGATCAGTTGTTGTTCAGGCTACATAATTCCCATGAGATCCCTCCAAGTTGACAGAAGTAGCAATCATTCATTTCTTCTACTGCTAAGCAATATTCCTGGTATGGACGTACCACAGCTTGTCTCACCATTAAAGGACATTTGGATTATTTCCAATTTTGTGTGGACATAAGTTTTGATATCTCTGGAACAAAGGTATAGTAGTACAACTGCTGGGTCATATGTCAAACCTTTTTTTTTTTTTTATTTATATATGAAATTTATTGTCAAATTGGTTTCCATACAACACCCAGTGCTCATCCCAAAAGGTGCCCTCCTCAATACCCATCACCCACCCTCTCCTCCCTCCCACCCCCCATCAACCCTCAGTTTGCTCTCAGTTCTCAACAGTCTCTTATGCTTTGGCTCTCTCCCACTCTAACCTCTTTTTTTTTTTTTTTTCCTTCCCCTCCCCCATGGGTTCCTGTTAAGTTTCTCAGGATCCACATAAGAGTGAAACCATATGGTATCTGTCTTTCTGTATGGCTTATTTCACTTAGCATCACACTCTCCAGTTCCATCCACGTTGCTACAAAAAGCCATATTTCATTTTTTCTCATTGCCACATAGTATTCCATTGTGTATATAAACCACAATTTCTTTATCCATTCATCAGTTGATGGACATTTAGGCTCTTGCCATAATTTGGCTATTGTTGAGAGTGCTGCTATGAACATTGGGGTACAAGTGCCCCTATGCATCAGTACTCCTGTGTCCCTTGGATAAATTCCTAGCAGTGCTATTGCTGGGTCATAGTGTTTATTTATTTTTGAGAGAGAGATGTAGAGCATGAGCGGGGGAGAGGTGGAGAGAGAGGAAGACACAGAATCCGAAGCAGGCTCCAGGCTCTGAGCTGTCAGCACAGAGCCCGATGTAGGGCCCGAACTCACAAACTGTGAGATTGAAGGAACAGAAAATTCTAAGTAATATGCATAAATGTTAATTATAAGGACATTTCATGGAGGCAGAAATGGACAAATAATATTCAGAAGACAGAATCAACCAACTCCACTGCCATACTTGCTCTTAGTATGTAAGACAACAGTAGGGAATGAAATTTTCTTGCCTTTAAATTGATACTGAAAAACGTCTGGGTGCATCTAATAATTATTAACTTGGCCTGTGAAGAATTCATTTGCTCAAGTATTGCTTATTTGTTTGTAATTGAACAAATATGTTACAGAAATGTTGGGGATAGGCAGGATGACATTTTGTGTCAGATGCCTGTTAAGATAACAGGTATAGATAGCAAGTGAGGTTCTGTCTCTTTCATACGTGCACATGAAGCATTGTCCTGGGGAAAAGCAGGAACAAAATAGGACTCAAAAACTTGGGTCCTGGTGACTATTGCGCAGTACTATTAGTACCACATAGTACCCAGTACTATTGGTAAAAAGTGAGTTAGTTTCTTGTTGGAATTAGAATATGTTTTACATAAATATGTTGACTTTGAAGTCATCTAATGACATCCTGTTGAAAATATGTGTAATTTGAAGATGCAAGATCTAATGTTCATATTTATAAAAACTTAACCAAAGTGTAACATGATTCATATGCTCAATCGCTGTTATTTACTGTTTTGGAGATCCTTCAAGTTTCTAGTTATAGTTATGGTTTTGAGATTGCTGTTACTGAATGTCTGTTTTATCTTAAGAAATCTACTTATGTCATCTCTTATGATAGAAAGGCATCAGCATCCCAGTTTTACAGCCAAGAAGGGCTCAAAGAAGGTAGACAACTTCAAGGGCCAAGTTGAGCTGGAGATTGCTGAGTGGCTAGGTGTCACAGTAGCTCATTGACACTACACGCCAAAATGAAACCCTTTAGTCACTTAGTGCAAAATTATAAGCAACAGGCTAAATAGAGGAAAGCCAAATCTCCCACTGTTTCATTTTTCTCCGTCAAATGGCACCAGTCAAGGGTCAGATGCATCAGCACAGATATGGTGGATCGCTAGCCAAAATGGAAGTAATTATATCACTCCCAAGAGAAACTGAACAAAAGGATCCTGTAGTTTTATGGACCTGGGTGGAGGAGGAGAAGGAAAGGTAAGGGCTAGGAGTGGCAAAGTACTAAATACAGAGTCCAGGGAGAAAAAAGTGTCATGTCCCTCCCCCATCCTTTTCCCCATAAAGAAATCTCAGCAGAGGTGCCTGTCACAGGTGTCTCTGACATCGGTTCCTGATGGGGGTAGTGAATGGAGGCGCTTAGGCTGGTAATACAGATAAGAGCATGGCTGGCCAAGAGGTCCTGAGTTCCTGACTGTAACTTTCTCCAGAAACGTCCGTGCATTGGCTGTGCTCCGAGTCTGGTGTAGGAAAGGCAGCTCTCCCTTACAATATCTGCCAAGCAAAACTTTTGTAACTGCCTGTGGTCAGGCCTGAAAGATCACACATAGATTTTTTGAACAGAAGCCTGACTCCTCAATAATTTTGGTATAAACCGATTCAACCCAAACTTGTATCCATACAGCTTGAAAAAAAAAAATCCCATTTTATTCTATTCAAGATCGCTGTCCTCATTAAAAACACTTTTAGTAAGTTGACTTTATTGATTTTCCTATAATCTCTTGGAATTTTACCATTCCTTACTAATAAAATATATGTTTGGAAATGTTTGCTGCAACTTAGCATAGAAAACAGAGTTGGAGGTAGAGATATATGTGGTAGTCCCATAGGCCACATAAAAAATGATGAAGGAAAAAAAAATGATGGAGGAAGAATTCCTTGTGTGAGATTTATGTTAGACAGCCATTGGGTTCTGCTGCCTGGATGTACCCTAAACATCACTAATCTCCATATATAACACAAACCTAGATTTTACTAATGATTTATTGATATAATGTCTTTCTGCTTTGTCTAACACATATCTATATACACGTTGCCTTAGCTCCCTCACTAAATTCCAAGGTCTTTGCTCACTGGTAATGCTTAATTCTGGCAGTGCTTAATTCATATTTTGTAACCATATAATAATCAAAATAATATCTTCATAGGAAGTTCTCAATAAATACTATTGAGTGGAGTATGCTAAGCAGTCAATAAAATATAGAGTTTTATTGGTCCTTGAGATCAGTGACTTTTTTTTGGTACATCCAGGTAGCAGAATAACATGGCTGTCCATTAGTAGTCTGAATCTTGACATCAGAAATGAGTAAGTGACAAATTGTAATCGAGGGCTTGAGATTGGCACAGCCAACCTGATAGGAAGTTCAAAGGAATAAATTACTAATTAGAAATGAAAGTTTCAGATTGAGATGCATTATAAAATTAAAACTTAAATTTCATTGGGATTTAATGTTACTCTTAATGGATGAAAGTGATTTTAAATGTCCTTTTTGGCATCTCTTTGCACATTAAAAGTAATATGGCCGTCATTCATCTTTGGTTAATCTGAGGAAGTAAAATGATTATGCTTTGAAATTATGTTTTATGTAGTAATTTTTCTTTAGGCATAATTTTAAAAATGGAGCTGCCATCCGTGTGTTTCCTTTAAGCAGTTTTTATCATGGTGGTCATACTTCTGATTAGAGTGTAACATTTCTACCTTAAGAAATCCTTTAGGCTCATCAGGGCTCATTGATATTTTAAATACACTTTATTGTTGTTTTGTTACCACTTACCAAAACTAAAATATTCTCCATAACTTAAAACATAGAGATTATAGATTTTCAAATCCAATCAGTTCAATAAAAACATATTGGAGGAATTAACATTTTTTGAGTGCCTTTAACATGACAGACACAGTGCTGTGTTATATTAAATTGGATCCTTCAATCATAATATTCAAATTCAATAAAGAAAGGTGCATTTCCGGGCCCCCCACCCTGCCATTTAAGTATGAGAAATGGAAGCTAAGAAGACTGATTTAACCAAAATCATACAAAGGGAGCTAGAAGTAAAGTCAGAATTAAAAGCCGTATTTGGTGCTTGCTTGGCAGTACATAATATCAAACTGGAATGATATAGAGAAAATTAGCATGGCCTTGGTGCAAGGATGACATGCAAAAACATGAAGCATCTCATTAAAAAAAAAAAACAGATTTGTTGGCTTCAAAGTCATACCATTTTGTCTGTACAGGAATGTTTCTATCCATGTCTATCTAATTGTTCCTTGTGTATTATATTTGAATTAAAAATGAGTTAGGGACACCTGGGTGGTTCAGTTGGTTAAGCATCTCAGCTCAGGTCATGATCTCATGGTTTGGATTGGTGAGTTCCAGTCCCTCACTGAGCTCTGTGCTAACAGCTCAGAGCCTGGACCTGCTTCAGATTCTGTTTCCCTCTCTCTCTCTGCCTCCATCCTGCTGGCACTCTGTCTCTCTCTCTCAAAAATAAATAAACATTAAAAAAATTAGTTATTTGGGGGGGGTGCCTGGGTGGTACAGTTGGTTGAGCAACCAACTCTTGATTTCTGCTCAGGTCATTGTCCTGGAATTGTGGGATCAAGCCCTGTGTGGGACTCTGCACTGAACATGGAGCATGCTTGGGATTCCCTCTCTCTTCCTGTCTTCCCCTCTCTCCCCTGCTCATGCTCACTCTCTCCAAAAAACAAACAAACAAACAAAAAACAAAAACCGGTTATTTTGGCATATGATGCCATCATAAAAGTATTTACGACTATTCCAAGTCTATACCTGTATAATAGTATCAGTATAAATTCAGAACTTTTATAATAATAATTTCCATTTCAGATATGAAATTACATGTTTTATGACATATAGAATAGAAATGGTATTATTTTAATATTCCAGAAAAATACTTCGATATTACCCCAAGTTATCATGTGGAAAATTATCTGGTTATACATGATTTATGCCTTAAGTTACTATAGTAACAGATATGAACATGGTGAATTATCAAAAATTAATTCAATATAATTAACAATTAAGATTCTGAGGGTCAATATTGGCACAAAGGTACCTGATAAAAGCATACTTCCTAAAATTATTGTGAAATACTGCTATTAAAAACTGGTAAATATGGAAAAATGGTCAACTTATTAAGACTTCAATTTGCATATGATTAAAAAGAACTTTTTGAAGGCTGTCATTCCCATATGATGGATATTTTATTCTGCTGTCCCATTAATGAAAAATAGTGCATGCTATTGACAAAGTAGAGTTAGAATGACAAACTGGTGTTTCCTAACACGGCTCCAACTGTAGCGGCTGTGATGCTGGCCAAAGTGGCCCCATGTGGCTTACATGTTATTCACCACAACATGGGCTTCTCTGTCTTGTCCAATCTAGACTGCATGAGACTTCTGTATAGGATTGGAATTCAATTTTGTACACAACAGATATGTACAAACTCAATCTACAGAACAGAAACTGATACAGATTATATATACACGTGTGTATATATATATATACACACATATATATAATATTATATATATGTGTGTGTGTGTATACACACACACACACACACACACACACACACACACATATATATATATATATATATGTAAACACTTTAAGGTAATGAGCATACAAAAAGTAATTAACTTACTTTGAAGAATGAAAGTCTTTAATGTGCTGTGGTTAAAAAACAATAGACATCTTAACTATAGAGAACAAACTGATGGTTATCAGAGGGGAGGTGGGCAGGGGGATGGGTGATGTAGCAGATGGGAGTAAGGTGGGCACTTGTCTTGATGAGCACGAGGTGTTGTGTGGAAGTGTTGAATCACTATATTGTACACCTGAAACTAGTATCATACTGTTTGTTAACTAGCTGGAATTTAAATAAAAATGTGGGGAAAAAATAAAAATAAAAAGTATTTCTAAAAAAAGAAGAAAAACAGGGGTAAACAACAACACTAACAAAACAATAGATACAATACAATATATACAATATTGCTGTAAATCTGTAGCTCTACTCACATTGTTAAGCAGCTTTTAATAAGTATCTACATATGAGAATGAAAAAAATACATTATAAAAATCAAATTTGAAGTGTACATAATTTTTCATGCTTTCTAATTATACTTTCTTTCTTTCTTTACTTTTGTAGCCAATTTCTGTAGCTTTATTAGCAGATAGGAAATTACTCTATATAATTTGTTTACCTTGTTTTATTATTTTTTTTAATTTACATCCAATTTAGTTATCATATAGTGCAGCAATGATTTCAGGAGTAGATTCTTTAGTACCCCTTACCCATTTAGCCCATCCCCCCTCCCACAACCCTCCAGTAAGCCTCAGTTTCTTCTCCATATTCATGAGTCTCTTCTGTTTTGTCTCCCTCCCTGTTTTTATATTATTTTTGTTTCCCCTCCCTTATGTTCATCTGTTTTGTCTCTTAAAGTCCTCATATGAGCAAAGTCATATGATATTTGTCTTTCTCTGATTGGCTAATTTCACTTAGCATAATACCCTCCAGTTCATTCCATGTAGTTAAAAATGGCAAGATTTCATTTTTTGATTGCTGAGTAACACTACATTGTGTGTGTGTGTGTGTGTGTGTGTGTGTGTGTGTACATATGTATATACCACATCTTCTTTATCCATTCATCCATTGATGGACATTTGGGCTCTTTCCATACTTTGGCTATTGTTGATAGTACTGCTATAAACATGGGGGTGCATGTGTCCCTTTGAAACAGCACACCTGTATTCCTTGGATAAATGCCTAGTAGTGCAATTGTTGGGTGGTAGGGTAGTTCTATTTTTAGTGTTTTGAGGAACCTCCATACTGTTTTCCAGAGAGGCTGCACCAGCTTGCATTCCCACCAACAATGCAAAAGAGATCCTCTTTCTCTGAATCCTTGAAAACATCTGTTGTTGCCTGAGTTGTTAATGTTAGCCATTCTGACAGGTGTAAGGTGGCATCTCATTGTGGTTTTGATTTGTATTTCCCTCATGATGAGTGATGTTGAGCATTTTTTCATGTGTTGATTGGCCATCTGGATATCTTCTTTGGAGAAGTGTCTATTCATGTCTTTTGCCCATTTCTTCACTGGATTATTTGTTTTATTGGGTGTTGAGTTTGATAAATTCTTTATAGATTTTGGATACTAACCCTTTATCTGATATGTCATCTGCAAATATCCTCTCCAATTCTGTCGGTTGCCTCTTAGTTTTGCTGATAGTTTTCCTTCGCTGTGCAGAAGCTTTTTATTTTGATGAGGTCCCAGTAGTTACTTTTTGTTTTTGTTTCCCTTGCCTCCAGAGACATATTGAGTAAGATTTGCTGTGGCCAAGATCAAAGAGGTTTTTTGCCTCCTTTCTCCTCGAGGATTTTGATGGCTTCCTGTTCTTACATTTAGGTCTTTCATCCATTTTGAGTTTATTTTTGTGTGTGGTGTAAGAAAGCGATCCAGGTTCATTCTTCTGCATGTCACTGTCCAGTTTTCCCAGCACCATTTGCTGAAAAGACTGTCTTTATTCCATTGGATGTTCTCTCCTGCTTTGTCAAAGAACAGTTGGCCATATGTTTGTGGGTCCATTTCTGGGATCTCTATTCTGTTCCATTGATCTGAGAGTCTGTTCTTGTGCCAGTATCATACTGTCTTGATGATTACAGCTTTGTAGTATAGCTTGAAGTCTGGGATTGTGATACCTCCTGCTTTGGCTTTCTTTTTCAAGATTGCTTTGACTATTCCAGGTCTTTTCTGGTTCCATACAAATTTTAGAATTATTTTTTCTAGCTCTGTGAAGAATGCTGGTGTTATGTTGAGAGGGATTGCATTGAATATGTATATTACTTTGGGTGGTATCAACATTTTAACAAGATTTGTTCTTCCTATCCAGGAGCATGGAATATTTTTCCTGTTTTGGTGACTTTTTCAATTTCATTCATAAGCTTTCTATAGTTTTCAGCGTATAGATTTTTCACCTCTTTGGTCAGATTTATTCCTAGGTATTTTATGGTTTTTTGTGCAACTGTAAGTGTGATCAATTCCTTGATTTCTCTTTCTGTCACTTCGTTATTGGTGTATAAGAATTCAGCTGATTTCTGTGCATTGATTTATATCCTGCAACTTTGCTGAATTCATGAATCAATTCTAGCAGGTTTTTGGTGGAATTTTTAGGGTTTCCCATATAGAGTATCATGTCATCTGCGAAGAGTGAAAGTTTGACCTCCTCTTGGCCAATTTGGATGCCTTTTATTTCTTTGTGTTGTCTGATTGCAGAGGTTAAGACTTCCAATACTATGTTAAATAACAGTGGCAAGAGTGGACATCCCTGTCTTGTTCCTGACCTTAGGGGAAAAGTTCTCAGTTTTTCACCATTGAGGATGATATTAGCGTTGGGTCGTTCATACGTGGCTTTTATGATCTCAATGTATGCTCCTTCTAGCTCTACTTTCTTGAGGGTTTTTATCAAGAAAGGATGCTGTATTTTGTCAAATGCTTTCTCTGCATCTATTGAGAGGATCATATGGCTCTTGTCTTTTCATTTATTGATGTGATGAATCATATTAATTGTTTTTTGGATATTGAACCAGCCCTGCATCCCAGGTATAAATCCCACTTGGTCGTGGTGAATAATTTTTTTAATGTATTGTTGGAGCCAATTGGCTAATATCTTGTTGAGGATTTTTGCATCCATGTTCATCAGGGAAATTGGTCCATAGTTCTCCTTCTTAGTGGAGTGTCTGTCTGGTTTTGGAGTCAAGGTAATGCTGACTTCATAAAAGAGTTTGGAAGTTTTCCTTCCGTTTCTATTTTTTGGAACAGCTTCAAGAGACTAGGTGTTCACACTTCCTTAAATGTTTGGTAGAAATCCCCTGGAAAGCCATCTGGCCCCGGACTCTTGTTTTTTGGCAGATTTTTTATTACTAATTTGATTTCCTTACTGGTTATGGGTCTGTTCAAATTTTTATATCTTCCTATTTCAGTTTTGGTATTGTATATGTTTCTAGGAATTTGTCCATTTCTTCAAGATTGCAAATTTTATTGGCATATAATTGCTCATAATATTCTCTTATTATTGTTTTTTTTCTGCTGTGTTGGTTGTGATCTCTCCTCTTTCATTCTGGATTTTATTTATTTGCGTCCTTTTCTTCTTCTTTTTGATCAAACT